TCTCTACAAAGGTAACTCCTGAAATGTTAGTCTTCAGTTTATTGTAACAGACTTGAACAAGAAGAGCTGATATATGGGCTTAAAATGCACGGGTGAAAATGTGGAAGTGTAGAAGGTTGTGAATACTCTGAAAAGTGAATGATTGAATAATGGTTATACTGAAATGTTCATTTTGGTTTACTTTGCTAAGTGTCTTTTAGTTATTAATTTGGATACTATTATAAACATGTTAGTAATAGATATTAATGTATATTCAGTCCAGATGTACTTTGAATAATTTCTTTAAAGCATCTCATAAAAAATCAGGCAATTCAGTGGTTTTATTGCCATCAGACATATAAATGTGACACGGCAAAGACCGGCTGGCCTTTCTTTTATTACTTTTTTTTTTTTGCTTGGCACAAGCAAATTGGGGGCAACCAGCACTCGTTAAATAAAGAGCTGCACAGTTGTGAATGGGACATGGGACCGCCTTTGAGGTATTGAAGCTTCTTTTTAAAGACACTTCTTTTCTTTTCAGTTTCATTGCAATGTATGCTTAAGATTAGTGGGTGCTAAAATATTGTTAACTTCTCTTCTGTGAAATCAGCTGAAGCTAAATTTGATGATGCTTTTGGTCAGTTTTACTCATACAACCAGAGAGTTTTGTTTGCGGTATATAAGAAAATTAATTCTGTGCTCAAGAGGGAAGTACTGTAATTGTGAAAACAGGTCTTATATGAGAAGGAAATACTGCTGTAAGTGTGGGACATTAATAATTTTAATAATTGAGTACAGCAGCCCTCTCTGTAATTCACACACTGTTGTTAATGAGTTACTGCAAGCTCTTTTCTTCCCATAGCTGTGACAGTGTCTTGTAGAGGCAGTGCATGGTGTATCTGGGTCAGCTGCGTGATTCTCAGCAAATTCAGCTCCTGTCTCTTACTGAGGAGTGATAGAAGTATCAAAATGTGATATGTATCAGTGCTTCCTTACTTTCCTGGTTTAATTTTATTAAGTTAGATGATTTCATATCAGAATTCAATAGAATCAATCCCCCATTCACTTAAGTGGTGTGAATGCAGTTCTAGATCCACTTCCAAACATGATTAAGATTTGGTTAGTGGACAATATAAAGTTCCCTTACCATAGTTTGTCTGACCAGCTGAAGTCTAGACAAAACAAGCAGCCTTTGACTCATCTTCAGAGTAGCCCCTATTACAGATTGCTACGTATTTAATAGCTATTTGGCATAAATATGACAAATACATGAAACACCTGGTTCTGTTATGTTGTTGAGTTCATTAAATCATGTGTCTGGCTTCTCTGAGCCTCTTTATCTTCTTTACATTACTATATGAAGGATGATAAGATCACTTAATTTCCAAACTGAATGTGTTTTTATCAGTTTCCCATATTCAGTTCGCTCTTAGAATCCCAGTGTTGTCAGAAAAAAATAAAGAAGTGTAGCCATGTAAAACTGTTTTGGCATCCATTCATATATCTCAGAAGGAGCTGATATAGAACGGGTTGTTCAGATAGTGTGTATATAAAATGAGTGTTTAGTTCTATTCCTGCCTGGCTGCCCTTGTTGTCAGGAGTGAATGGATGTGTAAGAGGCAGCACCACAAAATGAAGTCAAAGCATTAACAAATCTTGGATTATGCTATTGTTTCTTTATTTCCCTTTTTTTCAAGCACATCTTTTGTACCACTGCCCCTTCAGGAAAGCACGTTCTTTTAGCATCTTTCTGGCCTGCAGCCTTCATATTCTTCTTACATTAAATTTTTGTTTGTTTACTTCATTGACTTGGAAGAGAAATCTCAGTATGTTCAGAAATCCCCATCAGACAAGCTTCTGAAAGTTACTGTGGATTTTTTAGATTTGTTTGAGCTTTTTCTGAACTTTCAATACATGTTTTGATTGTCTTCCTTCTCACTCCAGCCAAGCTAGATTTTTCTCACTGACTGTCCTTCAGTTTGTCAAGTTATGTTTCCCTCATAGATCTCCCTTCTTCAGACTTTTGCGTAATTTTCTATGAAGAATCCAGAAAGATGAACATGTGAAACATTTTCCATCATTTTATTGTTTCTCTTTACAGAATAATATTTTCTTTTCATTCAGAAGGCTGACACTACTGTTTTGCTTTTACAATTTTATTTTAAACTAAGTTCAGTGATTTTTATTGAAGTGTGTTTCTGATAGTTTTGAAATCTACCACATATGTAAAAAAAAAAAAAAAGAACTGTTTATTTTTGAGGAACTCTCTTACACCAGAGAAGTATATGACCCTAAGAGTAACATGTTGTTCTAGTTAAGTGTCTTTTTTCCTATACGAATGTTAAATTCATGTAATTTATCAGATTAGATCTTGATTTTACACTAATGATAAGGTTCACAGAGGATGCATTGTACCTCTTTGAATTCATATACATTCTATAAAGAGAAAGAAACTGATGTTTTGAATAACTGCCAAGCCCCTATTGTTAGAGCACGTGTTTTCAGTTCAAAAACATGTGTGGAATCCATGTCAGCATGAAGTTGAGTTTGCAAGACAGTGAATTCAAGGATTACACTGCTCTACAGTCCCAGTGAAAACCCTGATAATGGCAGTGAACTTCTGAGAAGGCAATAAATTGTAGTTATTAGGCACAGAAATTCGTCAGAGAATTAAATGTATTATGGTAGATGAGAAGAAACTTAATTTGTAGAGGTTAAAGACATTAATTTTACATCTTTGTCATTAAGTTTTATTTAAAATAATAAAGTGGCATTAAATTATAGAAGATTAGTAACTGAAGGGCAGTTTACACATGAATCATTGATTCACTGCATGACTCAGAGTTCATACCAGGAAGGAGTATTTTTACCTTCAGTCACCCACTTACATCCAGCCCCAGCCTAAAGTGACTCACATCTGACAGCTGTTGGGCGTTCTGCTCTGCAGTGAATCTATGGGGAAAGTGCAGTCAGCAGACAGATGTAGAAAAACCACCACTGTAGACTTCTGCGGTCATGGCAGGGAAGTTAAGGATTACTTGAGCATATCATTTGAACTAGCCAATTACTGAAGGATCTCAGAGAAGAACATGCCATTTCTTTAGTCCCTGTTCGTGAAAGGAAGGTCAATCTGCCCAATGTGGAACTGTAGTTTGGTGTGCATGACATTTGTAAATGGATGTACAGTACTGTGGGTGTACAATACTATGAGAAGTGCTCAAATCAGATGACTCTGTCTACAAATCTATGTTGTCAGTTATCAGTAAGCACATTTCTCGTGTGGATAAGATCTGAATGCACTGACTGTTTTGGATATGGCATCTAATGTGTCCTTATCATGTGGGATGTTGCATTTATTGAATTAATGCTGGTCCTATAGCTCTTCAGCAGACCTAGTATGTTGTTAGTAGGTTGTTGGAGCGGTTTTCCTAGTAAGAGAGATTTACAGTTCTCTTCTTTATTTTATAGATAACCATTCAGAGGGACAGTGGTTTGGATGTCAGTTCCCCCAAACATGGAAAAGTGGATCCAGACAACATGCCGCATGTTGGTGGAAATACTTGGGCTGGTGGAACAGGTCTTTCATTCTTTCTGTTAATGCATCATTGACTGATATCTAAGGGCAATGCTGTGCGAGTAAAAAATGGATTTGTACAAGGATATCCTCTGCCTAGAGCTATTTACCCAATACAAGGTTGCTTTATTGCCAGTGAAAAGAGTATTTACAGAGTCTAATTTAAACTGTGTGTAGCAGAGCTCTACTTCAATTACATTTTTATGCTGTTTCTTTTGCTTGGCTATGTGGAGAACAAGAAGCTTGCAGCCGTAGGCTCTATGCTGAGATATTTGCCGTTCTCTTAGATGTCTTTGTGGTCACAGCGATTTAGGTAGTGTAGGCAAGAGGCACACAGGACAGGCAAAGTGTCTCCTATTTCTGAAGATAGAAGTGAAGATAGAAAGTGACTTGGGAACAATGTAAACAACAAATTCTAGGGAGAAGACAGAGTCTGATTGAATGGCTTTGAGGACCAGGAGCTTTGAGGAAGTTTACAAGACTTATATGATGTATAGTCCCCCTCATACAGGTGGAATCCATTACGAATCTGGTCTCAAGGGACTATAAAGACAAATACTCCATTGGAGTTCTTCTTTACCATGGTAGCTGCTTGGTTTTGAAAATCTTTGGCAATAAATATTTCTACTGGGGATTGTTGGCAACATTTTTTGAGTATCTGTAGATATGACAATGGAAACTTTAAAGAAAATGTATTCTTATTATAAAATGCATATTCTTAATTATTTTTTATCTCAACTCTGTTAGGTGGGAGAGACACTGCTGGGTTAGGTGGCAAAGGTGGGCCGTATCGACTGGATGCTGGCCACAGGGTTTACCAAATATCTCAAGCTGAAAAGGATGCTGTTCCGGAGGAGGTTAAGAGAGCTGCTCGAGAGATGGGTGAAAAGGCCTTTAAACAGAGGTAATGTAGAAGTCTTTATTTTCCCTTCCATTTCCCAGAGAATTTGAAAAAGATGGTTAAAAAGAATTCTCTTTCTTAACTGTGTTTATCAAGTACTTTACCCTGTTCATTGTCACCTAACAGAGCTTACCAGCATGTGTTTAATTGCTCTGGACAGGATGCATAGCATATTTTATTGAATTAAGCCACACTTAAAATTACTGTGATTTGGTAGAGTAAAACACAGCTGGGTGGATAAGGAGACTGATGAGAATACTTATCTTTTGAAAAAAAGGATCTACCATATGAAAATTCCTTTGAATTATTGTGAATCCAGATTGTATGTTAGGCATTCATCACCTAACAAGTATCCTTCAAAACAGACCATTATGAGCAAATTGCTTCTGTTTGAAAGATCTTTCTGTTTGAAAGATCCGTTTGAAAGATCTGAGATGGTTTGAACTATTATACCTCAGCAGACACTTTTACACAAACTACAGATATTCCCAACATTGGGAAGAATTTCCCTGTTATCAAGTAAATAAACTTGTAGTTTACATATATAAGTGGATGATATGCCAATTTCCTAAACTGTTCTTTGCTTCAGATTGAAAGAGATTCAGATGAGCGAATATGATGCATCAACTTACGAAAGGTTTTCTGGAGCAGTCCGACGTCAAGTTCAGTCACTCCGCATCATCCTGGACAATCTGCAGGTAATCTTAGATTCACTGATAAAGGAACATGGTGAGCACATTACATTAGGCCCCAAATACTATCCTGCTAATACCCTGTTGCCATCTGATAAGCATACCTTTGAGAACTAAAAGATTTGGTTTATAACCATGGGTAGGAAAAACAGTCTCATATTACTGTCTCACAGGCAGCTTTTAAGTGGATCACAGTGTTCATCTCTACAAGTCACAGTATTCCCATTCCACAGTTTACAGAGATTACTGACTCAGGAGCAAAATTATGTGAAAGAAATATTGTATGTTATTAGAAGAATGTGTGATGGCATGTAGAGCTCAGCCTTTGTCTTTACCTCCTGTCCAAAAGACTTTTTTTAGCTGAGAAGTGCAAAGCTATTAAAAGAAACAGCCGCTCCAGTTGGGTACTTTATTGCGTCTGCAGCTGAAAACATGATTTTTTTCTTAAGTTTGTTTGTAACACTTGCTAATAAAAAGAGGTATAGCCCAAATGCTTTCTGTTACCTGGGGAGCTGAGTCCAAGCACATTTCATGTTATCTCTTTGAGTAGAAAAAAAATTTATTTGACTAGTAAGTCATGGTAAGTCATTCAACCCTGATGAAGGACTATGCCTCTGTGTCCCTTTTTATCTGGATAGTTCTATGTACACCGTTGGTTCTCAGCTTAAACTGTTTTCTTTCTGCTATCAATCAGACTTTCCTCATTTCTCAAGTAAGAAGTGAGTTGCAGTAAACTTTGCAGCTCAAATATCTGTGTGTTTTTAACTTTGTGAAAATCCTAAATTACCTTCTCATTAGAGAATGTTTTTGGCTTTTTACGAATATTTGGATTTGCTTTGTTTCAAACTCAGTGTGTTTACATAATGGAAATATATGGCCCATGTGTGTTTAATGTGGATTTTCTTTTTGACAGATGCATTTTTATTGTTAGATGTGCAGAGTTTTTAAAAAATACGTTCCTTTGTTAAAATCTTACATCCCAGAATCAACAGGCTGGGATTCAGGTCTAGTTGTGGATGGCTTGCAAAAATTAGTAGCAACAGGAATAGGCTGATCCTTGAACATAATACATAAATACAGTCTGAGAATGTGATTTCATTGTTAATTTTGCTTTGCATAACTCCCTCATCTCTGCCAGCTCTTTGAACAACATTAACAAGACCTTACAAGTTGTCATTTATCTTCAGTAGCAAAGCCAGAAGTCTAGGAAATCTGGTTAACGATGAGCTTTCTTCTCTCTCCTAATGCTGGCTAAACCCTGAATAAAGCTTGTCTGTCTGAACTCCAGATTCAAAAGATTATGGTCAGTCAGTCACTCAGAAAGGCCTTCTTAGATTTTATGTCTTGCCTTCCAGAAAGTATTTCTCTTTTTATTGATTATTATAGAGGAATCTAGGGCAATTGTCCCTCTAGCTTCTGAGCATCATTTAGGCACCTGCGTTTAAATTGGGCAAACCTGAGCCTGAGTCAGTGCGCCTGCTGGGGCTCTGTCTGATTTAGAACATGTGGGAGCTGTCTGGTCATGGCAGCAAGAATAAAGCAGTGGCAGTCCTATAATAAACATGGCTCAGAGCTGACGATGCAAAAACTCCTGTGCCCTGTCAGAAGTAGTTTTCTGATTTCAGCAGCTAAGGGAACATATGCAGAACATTTTCCCAGAAATAAATGCAGACCACAACTGGCAGTATTTCATACCATCCTTTATCATTATGAGTGGCATATTTAAATGTGATCACTTCACATACACAACTTTTTCTGTGATATTTACAGACATCTCAGTCACATTTTGAGGAGGGGGTTTGATACCTTTTGCTAAAAGAATTACTGCAGTGGTGTGTTGCAATCAGCCATTGCCATGCTGATAAGGTATGGTATCTAGCACATTTTTCTCATTTCAAAAGCAACACAATGAATACGTATATTTTTCGTTAATATGGTCACAGTATATTACAATAGTAATGGATTGTACACCCTTTGTAGTAAAATATCAAAGCACAGTGTATATATGTAGTAATTCTGGTTTTCTCTTAAAATTCTGCTTTTAAAGTTCTATTGCTTTTAAGCTTATGAAAATTACAGATTGAAAACGCTTTGAAGCTTCTCTGTAATATGTATGTGCATTGTATAACACACATGGTTAAGGGAATTCTTTTTAGCTTTTATAAAGGAAATAAATTCCTAGGAATTCTGCATGGAAGAGGCAGATGCTAAGTAGTCTAAATAATTTTAGCATTATTTTGGAAAGAGGTTAGGTCAGATTTTGTCAGCATTCTTTCCTGTTTTAGGAGCGAATATCAACTCTGTGTTCCTCCAGTAAAATTTCAGCTCAAATACTGGCTTTTGTTACATAAGCTTCAAAAGGTATTGGAATGTTTTTAACTATGTCCATGGTCTCACACTGCTGTTTCTTGAACAGCAAATGGTCACAAAACTAAATGAAAAACTCACTGAAAACAGTAGTGAAAGTAGTTAAGAATTTGCTTAATGAAACAAAAACTTTCTAATCTTCTGTTGTTCGTCCCTCCTGCCTACCAAAAAAGAGCAAATGACAAAAATTTGGCAAAACAGCAGCCCTAAGGAAGCGCTAAGGATCCAGCTCTGTTCCAGTCCTTAGAGTGGCTGACTAGGAGCAAAGTTATTTCATCTGCATCATCCTAGAAAGTGTATGATTCATTTTAGACAGGCTTTGCTCACTCAGTGGCATGTTGTCTCCAGGAGCATTTTTTTAATGGTTATTTGGAATGTTGTTGAAATTTGCCATGGGTGTTTCACAGGGACTGTAGTGATAGGACAAGGGGCAATGGATTCAAGCTTAAACAGGGGAGATACAGGTATTAGAAAGAAGTTCTTTACAGTGAGGGTGGTGAGGCACTGGAACAGGCTGCCCAAGGAAGTTGTGAATGCCCCATCCCTGGCAGTGTTCAAAGCTAGATTGGACAGGGCTTGAGCAACCTGGTCAAGTGGAAGGTGTCTCTGCCCATGGTAGGGGGTTTGGAACTGGATGATCTTTAAGGTCCTTTCCAACCCAAACCATTCAGTGATTCTGTGATTTTGACGGAGTATGTAGAGGTCACCTGGAATTTGCAGGTATCTCTTTGTGATATTATAGAACTCTTTGGGCATCAAAGGAATTGATGATCCTCTGGAAGAAGGAACTTCAGATTTCATACCAAGAATATTTAACGATAACAGAAACTACTAGCTGGCAGTAAAAAAACCTCAGGGATGCCCCACTGCCAAAGTAGGTTAAAGCTAGGTTGACTGTAGCACCATGAAATTCTATCAGAGGGCACAACTAACTGAATTTACAACCCAAGAAACCTTTTCCTCTTTTACCTTCTGTGATATACAAAAAAGCTGAGGTTTTTATTTGTTGGCATGGGTTTTGCCTCCCATCTGTAAAGCTTTTGACACTACCTAGCTAAAAAACCTGTTTGTCACATCTGTAAATTCTATACTGTAAAATTAATCAAAAAATTGTTTCCTTGTGGCTTTGTATTCTTTCTGCCCACTTATTTTCATACAGAAGTAGTCCATGTAGTCTTGAGTCACTGTTAAGGCAATAGCCAGAACTCCTCCTTCCATACATACCAAAAAGAAAACCTTATAAATTTTGACCAAAGCAAAATCATAGATTCTCTGAGCCTTAAGAAGCCATCATCTGAGTGCTTAGACTGTACAAAATTATAAAGATTCATCCTCTCAATCCCAGGACTGCAGTTCATTAGGGATTTGTAATGCAACACTTCCTGCTCATCAGAAAGCAACTGATTTTCATTACTGAGAACCAATGTTTAAGGCAGTTCGTGTCCTGCTGGGTATTTGATTGTCCTCCAACTGCTGAGCAGCAATTTGCTGAGACTGCAAAAGCATTATACATATACAGATTTAAAATCTTCTTTCCTTTCTGGGTTTACTGCTTAAATAAGCACCTTCAACCTGAAGAACTAAGCAGAAATTAAGTAAGCCATGAAACCCATACATGCAGACTTTACTGTCTTTAAATGGATTTTACGTATTATGAACCATGATTAAGCTATCCTTTGAAAACATTCTTAAATACATGGCTTATAATATTAAAACACTTGAGTCTTTGATCTTAAGTGCTTGCTTCTATGGACAGGAGTTCCATGAATATTTGAGTTCCTGGATTGTAATGCATGTTCATCAAGTCAGGCTGTAGATAACCAGCGTATATTTAAATAAAGCAGAAGAAGCATTTAGAGGACTCTCTTGAGTGTCACAGATGTCAAGGCTTTTATTTTAAAACAGAAAAATAGTTTATTGTTAATATTGTTGCCACTTACCATTACCTAAGATGAACACTACTTGGTTTTACCTTTAAGTCACCTGCTGGTTTATTCTTGCACTGCTTGGATGGAGACACATAACAAATGGTCAGTTATGTGTGTCTCTCTGTTGTATGTATTTCTGCACAGGCCTGTTACATGCATTTCCAGAATATTTGCAAGAAAAAAGGTTAACATTTCTGCAGTCCACAATTAACTTCCCACATATGAAACAAGTTTAAAAAAGACAGAATTACAGAGGGGACATATTCTTTGTCAGTGTTAATTTTTCTTTCAGAGAGAAAGAACAGATCAGCTATGTCAATATGCTTGGATTTCTTTGACTTAGGCCAAAATTATCACATCATTACAAAGAAAATTTATGCGTATGTCATGTCCAGTTGGTTTTAAATTGTCATGTCACTAAGTGAATTTAAGTTTCTTTTCTGTTGTAGGCCAAGGGTAAGGAAAGACATTGGCTGAGACACCAAGCTGTTGGAGAACTAGATGATGCTAAAATCATTGATGGGCTGACAGGAGAAAAAGCCATCTATAAGCGACGGGGAGAACTTGAACCACAAGTAAGTATTCAACAGGTAGCAGGGAAAGGTGGGAAAGAGCTTAAATGGTTTGGTGATTTCATAATGGCTGTACAATATCCGTGTCTGGAGTTTGGGTAAGTATATAGGAATGAGGAACTTGTAAGAATCATCTCTGGCTTTGGAAGTCCCTGAGAGAGGATGCAAATCTAGGCAATGCTTTGTTTTAATCCAGTGCAACAAGTTTTATTTTCTTATTTATATTTTAATGAGCTGAAGGCAATTAAGAGAAAACATTCTGTTTGGTTTTATCAGAAAAAGGAAAATATTTTCTCACTAATTTAATTTAATTTTTTTTTTCAATAAATACCCTGATACCCTGAGAAGTTTAAATAAATAAAGTGTTTTACAAATGTCTTTCCCATATTCCATGACAGGCAAAAAATTTCAACTTCCACAGATACTTTGATTTACAAGAATAAAAATGATAATGGGAAAAAAGTGTGTGGAAAAGCCATGAAAATACAATAAAGTTTCCATTCTATGGCTCAATTCAGCTATTCCTTAGAAGAAATTATGGTTAGGCCTATGTGAGTCAGCAGCAGAGAAACCACTTGAATCAGACCAACAAAACCTGGCCAGAACTGGTGGCGCTAGTCCATAATATTTAGCAGTAATACTTAATGACAGATTGCAGTTTTTAACTACACCAAGATTTTTTTTAAGTAGCTGAGTACAACATCTTTGTGCATGTCAGCTACCCACATCTGATGAATCCCTGCTATTAGTTTTTATGCTACTTGGTCCTGATGTCTGTTGCTTTGAACAGTTTATGGAACTTGGCACTGTCTGTGTGAAAGATAAATAAGGGAAAAATGATTAAATCTTCATTTTTCATTTTTTCACAATGTATTTACTCAATGTGTCAGTTTTAAGGCTTTTTAAAAATAGTTCAATTAGGAAAAAAAAGGTCACCTTTAATTTTGAATTTAAAAATAAGTAAATATAGTATTCAATGGGCCCTCTCTCTCCCTTTGTTTTTGGGAAATCAAGAATTCCACAGTCTATTAAGACAATAATTAAAAGAATAAAGCACACAAATGCTTGCAACCCTTTACAGGTTAAAGAAACATTTTAGTTATTTGTTTTTAATGTGACTGGGTTTTTCTGCCAGATCCTCTTCGATAGCATTATAGTTGAATCAAGCCTCATCTCATTGCACTAAATAAAACACCTCTCTTGAATGTACTGTGCCAAAAATTGCTAAAACAGATGGGGATTGTTTTCAGGAAAAAAATAATGGTTTCAGCATCAGAATGAAGAAGAAACTGGTAGTTAATCAGAACAAGATTTCAAGCATTTTTGGAATGTTACTAACCTCAGCAGACAAGTTTTTACAGTCTTATCCAGGTCCCTGTTAATACCGTAAGCCAAGGAGAAGCATTTCAATTATGAGCCTTGGCAGAAAGAGCAAATTTGAGAGTCTCTCTACTGAAATAAGATGTCAAGAGTCAAAACTGCGACAGAAAAAAGTATTTTCCTGACAAGTATGCGTGGAATTTTTCAAAGTATTTTGTTTCCAGTCATTGAAGGTGAGGGGAAGGAATGAATTGAGGTATCTGTCAAGTAAATTGTTTGAAACAGAAAAAAGTATTACAATCTTTTAATCTTTTTTGTTAAAATAATCTGTTTGCTGGATAAAAGTTTCCTACTTTGCAAAGGGCATTGAATTCTTTTACAAAATGTTTTATCACTACTAAATGTTCACCTTTCCCATTTATATTGGAGTTCTTTTTCTGTTGTGTTTCCCTGTCAGCCTGGGAGCCCCCAGCAGAAACCCAAACGCTTGCGCCTGGTGGTGGATGTTTCCGGTAGCATGTACCGCTTTAACGGGGTGGATAGACGCCTGGAACGCTCCATGGAGGCTGTCTGCATGGTCATGGAAGCTTTTGAGAATTATGAGCACAAATTCAAGGTAATTACAGCTGGGCTAGGAGCTCTGTGGTTATTGCACAGGCTGTGTGGAGCAGTGGAAAAAGTGTTTCAGCAGTCGGTCTAGCCAAAGAGTATTATTCATTCCCACAAGGAAATAAGGACATTAATCTATTTCTAGCAACCTGAAAAATAATACTCGTGAACGGATGAGAAACATTACACACTTCAGCAGGGGAGGATTCAATCTAAGATTGTTAAGATTCTGATTTAGTGAAATTTGCTGCCTTTTTCTGTATTTATCAGTTTATTTGTTTCCTTAAACAGAAACTTTAAGCCTACAGAACACAAGTAAATATGAGCATCGATACATGCATAGATGCCCTGCCTTTCCATCTGCCGTCTGCCCAGAGTACAGACAGTAATACACTGTCATGGAGAAGGGCCTGGCCATAAATGGTGACTAGGAAATAACATGGCAGATGGTGTTCAGTGCTATTAAATGTAAAGTGCTGCAGGTGGAAGAAAACAATTCTAATTTTAAATACACAGTGAAGAAATCTCAGCTATCTGTTAGTGCTCACTCTCAGCTGTATATTAGTGCTGAACAAAGAAATGTTGTAATTATATTGTATGGTTCTTTGAACATTCAGTGCCCACCAGCTGTCAAAAAGCTAATTGAATGTTAGAAACTATTAACAAAAGAAGAGAATAAAGCAGAAAGCATCAGAATGTCGCTGTAAACATCCATAATGCATTCACATCAGGAGTAATATGTGCAACTTTGGTCCCCTATTCACAAAAGTTCTCGTAGAGCTGAAAGAGAAGAGAGGGTGACAAAGATTACAAAGGTTATGAAAGTGTCCCCATACAAGAAATGGCTAAGAATGCAAGAACCACTCAGTTTGGAAGAGATAAAAATCAAGGAGCGGATAAAATCTTGAGTGAAATGGAAACAGTGACCAGGGCATGGTTGTTCATTCGGTTCTGCTACAGACATTCTGCTATCGTTATGAACAATAAAGTATTTTACATTTACACAATAGAGGACAGTGGCTTAGAAGAATGACACTGAGAAAAGTAGTGCAGTGGTAGATAACCAGCTGTCCTTATTTGCAGTGCAGCTCTACAGCTGAGAAGCCAGACATGACCTTCAGGTGCATGGTAAAGGAATAAGATCTAGAAGTAAGCAGACAGACTATGCAGAGTTAGTAAGATCATTATCTTTCAAATCCCTCTGTGTCTATTGCAGATTGTTATATTTTGCTTGGCAGTAGTTGCTATTGGCCATGTTTTGCCCTGCACATAGATGAAAGCCTGTATTTGGCCAGGCAAATAGCTCAAACTGCAGTTAGTTGTAACAGTAGATGTGCCTCTCTAACAATCACTTACCATTTATAAAAACACTTACACGAAAACCATGTGCTGTTATTAGATGTGAACATTGCCGCTCTTTGGTGATAGTACAACATGACTTGTAATGTTATCCTTTCAATCTCTGTGAGTCAAGAGAGCTGTAAGGTCAATTTCATACTTAAAATAACAGTGGTGAGGGAGATGCTGGAAATTTTAGTGACATACCAAGGAAAAAAGTTGTCATCAGCGTCTACATCAGTCCATCTTCAATTGCACAAGGTAATTCTCCTCCATTTGAGGCCTCCTTCCACTGGATAGGGAACTTTGGAGGGGGGCAGTAACAGTCCCTTTATTCAAGGCTGGTGAGATTCAGTGTAAATTCTGTCAACTTGAGAGCTGCTTTTGCCTCTGGGAAGAAAAGTTTTTTTCTTCCTCTACATCTCATTGGGATTTGATTCATTCAAAGCTTAGTATCTGCAAAAGTAGACCAGAGGTGACTAGGATGAGATGCGGCCTTATGTTTCACTGGCCACTGAAGTCATTCCCAAAATGAGCAGAGTCATTTATTAACTAGTCGTGTTTGAACCATATTCTTAACATGATCCAGTGATTAGGCTAAAGTATCTCTTTTTAACCTACATTACAGAGTCCTCTCATACAAGAAATCTTCTGTGCATGTGCTGATGGACTCCTTGAGTCATTCTTTTGATAAAAATAAAATGCATTTCTGAAATCTCTGGGTTGAAAATTATGTATTTTTGGTGTATAATTTGTCATGGCAGTTGCTACCCCTGCATGAATGTGATCAATAACCAGAGTTCATGCCAGTTCCTCAGTTTCTAACAAGTGTAATTAAGTCTTCAGATAGGAGGAGAACCAGTGATTGTTTTAAAATATCACTGATTCTAATCTGTAAAACACTGACACTCTGTAAGATGCTGCCAATTTTTCTCAGGAAAAAGCTGAAGTTTTGGTATGCCTGTAAAAATAGCATACATTTCTCATTTCTAAAAGAGGAACTGTTGAAGAAAGAGAAAAGAACACACAACTGTGTCCTCTGCGATGAGAAATCTGCAGTTTATGATTTTTTTCTTTCTCTTCCTTATCCTCTTCTTACCTATTTTTTTTTTTTTAATAGGCTTTTTCGGCCTTCAGATATGCCTGCTGTTATCTGTTCCTGTTGTAGCCCCATCTGCAAGGGTCACAACCACATGCAGTTCAAATTTGAGGGGTATCATGTACAACATATGTTGAACCTGGGGGACCATCAGGCTTGCTGAGCAAAGCATTCAAAGGGGATATACATAACAAAGTTCCCTTCCGCTGTCTAACTGCAGTGCAAACTTCGGAAACCAGCTCTTGGCCTTCTCTCTTTTCTGCTGGTGCTTGGTTTGGTAGTCTGCTAAATAAGGTTTTGTATTAATCAGATGGGCTTTTCCTTGGTTGTTTTGTGCTACCAGTCTGAACTTTCCCCTTGTGTGGTACCCCTTGGTAGCACTGATCATGTCGATTGACTGGTCTTTACAGCAATGAATGAAGGTAGAGAATACTTTCTCCCTGCCTTCTAATACAGAAGAGCTAAGTATTGGGTATGCAACTGTACCTAGCAGTAATGAAGTTATCCTTCATAAAAACTCAGACAAGTGCCAGCAGGTATCTGTCAGGGTTTTATGCTTGCATAGGACAACCTGCCTGCTTCCATTTCCCATAAGTGGAGCAGTGAATCATTCCTTGTCAAGGGGGAAATGAGGGGCTCATCCCACAGTCGGGAAATCCATTTAAATTAACAGCCATGTTTCACAGCCCTCCTCCAATGTCAGCTCATCCACGCTTCCTCTCAAATGCTGTAATAAAGAAAAGAGTGGGAGTAACTGAGGTAATAGAAGCCACATTCTCAGCCTTATCCTGATAAGAGAGGTTAAATGTTCCTACAAAGACCCCTTGGCCTCTTTAAATGTGTGGATGCATCACTTATACATATGTATAAGTTATAACAAGCAAGTTCTTTTGCAGATTAAAGTTTTTACATCTTTTTTTTTCATCTCATTTTATGCACTAGTTATTTGAAAATGTACAGAGGACAGTTTGTTCTTTGTGTTATCTGAGGTAGTTTTACATCTGCCACACAAATCATATGGTTTTATATCATCCCTAATTACTGTCATTTGCACACATGATGGCAGATTTAGGAGGCATGTCCACTAAATTACCCAACAGCAATTTTATGAAGCCTTTAAAATATTATAAGTGGCTCAATAAATAGCATGTTATATAACTAGTACAAAAAACCTGAATTGTTATTTATAGCTGTATTAAAGGGATATTGCAGATTTTATATGCCCATTTCAGCATTCCCTGTTAGTAAAATTTAGTATGGAGGCAGCACTATTAATTTAGGAAAAGAGATGTCCCACATGCTTGGCAGAATAGTTCCTTTTAAATAATAAACAAAAGGTTTGAAATAAATTCAGGGGAAAAAAAGGAAGGTTCAGTGTTGTCCAAAGAAGAGATGAATTTATAAAGATCTAGCCTTCTGGCAGAGCCTTCTGTCTAGTTCACACTGCCTTTTACATTCAGCATGAATCTTCTTTCAGATTTTTAAATGCCTTCAGAAATTAAACTTTTGGACATGGCAGCTTCAGAAGACAGTCTTCCATTTTACTCATTTTGGGCAGCAGCAACCATCCATTCAGAGCAAAATGTGACAGTGGAATAGGGATTGTTTTAACCTGTAAGGAAAGAAACCAACAGAACGGTGCTGTTTTGACAGGCATGTTTACACCTAATGTACTCACAGCTCTGAATAGAACAGTTCCTGTCTCAGTATACCTGCAGCTATTGGAAAACGAGCCCACTGTGTACCACAATAATACATTAATTCAATTAAGTCTGCATTATAGCAAACGTGTATTTTGCTGCTGGATTTGTCCTGAGAGCATATGCATGCAATCTATTTTGTAAACCAAAACAAGAGTCAGTTCCAAGTGATTGTATTGCAGCTCTTCTCTCATTTGTGACATAAATTCTCCTAGGTAATTTATGAGAAAAAAAGCATTGTAGTCTTGCTTCTCTGTGGCCTTTTTTGTGTGCTTGTCTTTACCTACTGCAGAGGAAGGAAACTGGTTTCAGCGAAGCGTGTGTGTGCCTGCATGTGTTGGGGTTCCCGGTTAGCCAGGGCTGTGGAGCTGTCTGCACCTTTTCTTTAAAACGAGCACACCAAGATAACATCGAATCACTGAGGGTTCATTTTATTAGAACTCAAATCAGGAGAATGTAATAATTTACTGAAAGAAAACCTGGGTGAAAGATTTAAATCCTCCTTCTTCGCCCTTGCAGAGTGGGTTTCTTCACTCCAGTTTTACTCCTGTCCCAAACTCGGTATTGCTGAATTGCCATAGACTCCATATATTTCCCTGGGCAAGATTCTCCCTCTGTCACCTCTAAAGCTTGGCTTTGAGCCTGCTCCCATCCCTCCCTCCCTCCCAAGGAGGGTCTCCCAGGCTGCAGTCCTTTGTTGGTTTAAGTCAATCCAAGTCAGTGCTGCTACATTCCTCCTTCTCTGGGGCACAAGTACTCATCCAACCTCATAGTTTGGGGGGCTAAGCTGCCCAAAAGCAACCTTACTCTCACTAGGTTTTGGCTACTCCTTGTCCTTGATTAGACTTCCAAGGGGATCAGAGGGCCATGAGGACCAGCACTTGAGGGCTGGTGACTGCAGCACTTCTCTTCCACAGCACAGCCAGATCTCACCCTACTTCTTGGGAGGCCCTGCTTGACCCAAAATGCAGCAGCTGGGATGTAGCAAACAGCCAGTTCTTCCCTGCTGCCTCACCATGCTTTTTTTAATCATAAATAGCATAGTAAACCGTCAGCAAAGAAACAATAATAAACTGTCAGCAAGGAAACAAGGAAACAGATAACATCTGTTAAGTATACATACCCAGGTGCACGCATGGGCACACATGAAGAACGATAAGCAGCCAGCCGAGGAGGGAGCGGACAGGACATGATGTTCCCAGGTGAACACCTTTATGTGGCTGCAATAGTTTGCTCAAATCATTTCAGCCCCACTTTGCCCAAACCTGGGTTGTACAATCCCACCCTGTGCAAGAATGAGAAGGGGACCCAACCATATGGTCAACCTCTGGTGTTCCACCTAGGAGCTACAGCAGTTCCCTTTACACAGACTGTCACACTGAGTTTAAACCAGCCTTTTTGAGATGAGAGGTTGGTCTGTTATTAGTGTGTGCCAAGAACCAAAATGATATTGGCCTATTCCCAGGAACTCAGTATAGCTGATACCAGGACACCCAGTGGGAAGGTCCATGAAATGCTGGGAAGGAGCGTCTAACAAAGGAGTCAGCTTTATTTTTACAGAGGAGAACGACAGTATCTTGCTTTACATAATTAGGTTGTTGACTTAAAAGTGATACCGAAAACAAAACTGCTCAGCAAAGGACATGCAGGGTTTGGTAACTTAGAGCCTACCCTGAAGATCTGTGGACATTTCTGACATTATGTAAGAACAATATTAGTGCTGTGTATTTTTTGCTCCGTTAAACCACTGTTTTGTTTAGTTCCTCTGATTTGAATAATCTCTGGTTTTTAAAACAACGGACAGGCACGCTCCCTTACTGTGTGGTTCCCATTCTGGATCTATTGATTCCTGTTAATACTTAGGAAGTATCCTGACTGTAACCTCAACATTATTCTCAAAATCTGTGTATTTTCATTTGCCATGCTTTTTCTCTGGGAAAGGTAATGGCTTGAGGAAGACAGAAACACCAGCTAAAAATTCATCAGGAAAGAGTCTGAAGCATTATTGCTGATAAGAAATAGGTTTTGAAGAGAAAGTATGTGTCAGGCTGGAAGCTTTACATGAAGATGGATAGCAAATATTAGAACTGAAAGAGCTGAGGAGAACAGGAATGGGAAAATACAGAAAGAAATAGGATTGCATGGGGGACTAAATTATGTAAAGATTTCCTAGGGTAAGGAAGTCTGGGTTAAGTGAGTCTGTCATAAAATGGTCTGACCTTGGCTGAAATTAATCTATAGTATGTGGCACTGTTTCTCAGGAGGTGTCACCTTTAAAAGTGTTATTCCAGCTGTTATAGCTCTCTTTTACTTTTGATATATTTTAAGCAAGTTAGTGATATGGAAACAAACAAGAAGAGCTTTGTCGATAAAGAATGCCATTTCTCCAGTCTCCAGGAGCCGACTTTGAGGAATAGACCTGCCTTTTACCAAATGATTATGTGGGAATTAGGGATGGTGAACTCAGCAGGGACCTGTAGGCAGTACTTGAATAAAAGATAACAGAAAGGCAAAATACTGCACAAGGGCTCACTGTCAACTGAACAGAGATGTGTGCCAGCTAGTCAGGGGGAAATACAGACATGTTCATGTTGAAGAACTGCCAGCTCAAGTCTCACCAGGCTCAGGATATATGCACTGTGCTCTATTACTTCGTGTAGACAGCTCTTAAATCCACTTTTGTTCTGCTCGTGAATTCTCCCTGGGGTGACTGCCAGATGACAACACAGAGGGCAGGTCAGGACCTTGCCATAGCTCAGCTTGTCTTGGTTTTCCTGTAATGACAATGAAACTCTTACATAAAACAAAGGCCTTCCCAATATTACATTATTTGTTCAACAAGATATTTGAACTATTGCAGCTCTACAGGTCATTTTTACAGCATCTTTCACAGGAGAGTGATGTACACACCAGTACAGAGACTCTTGGAATTCACTTCACTACATACTTTCAGCAATGACTTTGATCTGTTGTGCACAAAAATAAGGAGTGCTGATTTTTTAAAGAAGAAGGGTTGTAGTACTTGTTTTTCTCTGAGCAGAATGAGGTCACAAAAAAGATCCGTCAAACGCGGGAGCTACTCTCAAACAATGCACTTCTTGTTTGTCAGACTTGAGAGGATGAAACCTGCTCCCTTAAAAAAAATACACAGACAAAGTGAGAGGGCAAGGTCTCGATCGCATGCATCACCGCTCTGCAGTCGGTGGGATGATACGAAAAACAGACCGTGGAAATAAGGAACTGGTCTTTAATTTCATTATCTAGCAATTCTTTCCTATGTTTTCATGTCAGTGAGAAATTGCAAGGAGTTCCCTTATGCAGCTCATAAACAGAAACCTCTTCTGTATTTGAGGTTTCATGATGAAAGCAAATTGCCTTTGATCTGTCTTGTGTCACTGTGACCCAAGGGCCATTCGTGACCACCAGATGACTGATGACATTTCTTTCTTGCAGTACGATATCGTTGGACATTCAGGAGATGGCTTCAACATTGCCTTGGTTGGGTGTGACAAAGTTCCCAAGAACAATAAGCAAAGATTAGAGATTCTTAAGGTAAATGCCACTAATAAGTGATACTGGATAATCAAGGATTTTGTGGCAGCAGAGATAAAATTGTATGTCACAGAATGCAAAACATAAAGACAGTAAAATAAAATAACAGGCCAGAACCTGGCCTTAAACACTGCCAGGGATGGGGCATCCACAACTTCTCTGGGCACCCTGTGCCAGTGCCTCAGCACCCTCACAGCTCAAACAAAATGTTTCAGCATTTTTAAGCTTTGCTGCTTCTGTCAGCACCCAGATATTTGATATTAACTGTGACACTGCCAGGGTTGGGAAGTCTAGTGCAAACTATAAACAGGCAGGAGCTGGTATTAGGAAACGAAGCTCTGTTTTCTTCCTTAAGTACATGGGAATGTAGCTACTCAAAGCGCGGCTGATCAAAGTGTTTTATCTTCCCTAAGGCCCAGCCTAGTTATGTCCATGCGTGGATTTTGATTGTTTGGTCTGTTTTGAGAAATGTTGCCCATCTTAAAATATGACATATTATGTACAAAAAGCTGCATCTTCTATAGTATCTATCTGGAGTACTGTCCACATTTCTGAAGCTTCTCCCAATATACTGTAATTGAATATTTACTCCTTCCTGCACCAGCCGAAATGAATGTTTATTCCTAAAGTCATCTTACATATTTCCACTTGGTTATGCTGTGCACACAGACCATGCATGCCCATGCTCAGTTCTGCATGAGTGGAGACCATACCTTGGAAGGGACAGAGCATGCCATTCGTGAAATCGCCAAGGAAGAGGCTGATGAGTATTTTGTTATCGTCTTGAGTGATGCAAATCTCGAGCGATACGGTATTCGCCCATCAAGGTTTGCTCAAGTCTTGACCACCAATGCTCAAGTCAATGCTTTTGCCATATTTATAGGATCCTTAGGAGACCAGGCAGACAGGTAAGTATATTTGGTTTGTGCCTAATGTAACTTTTCTTTGTTTCCATTTGTCGTAAATCTAAACTATGCTTTTATTGCAATGAAGTTATGCATTTAGTTGCCCATGCTGGTGTTCTGCACTAAGGTTTTGATCATAGTATCATAAAATCATGGGATGGTTTGGGTTGGAAGAGACCTTAAACATCATCTAGTTCCAACCCCCTGCCATGGGCAGGGACAGCTCATGCTAGACCAGGTTGCTCCAAGCCCTATCCAACCTTGACCACTGCCAGGGAGGGGCCAGCCACAGGTTCTCTTGGCAACCTGTGCCAGCACCTCAGCACCCTCATTGTGAAGAATTTCTTCCTAATATCTAATCCAAATCTACCCTCTTTCAGTTTAAAACCGTTACCCTCTGTCCTGTCACTACATGCCCTGGGAAGAAGTCTCTCTCTGTCCTTCCTTCATATATTGAAAGACCGCAGTAAGATCTCCCGAGACCTTTCTCTTCCAGCTGAAAAAGCCCAAGACTCTCTCAGCCTGTCTCCGTAGCAGAGGTGCTCCAGCTCTCTAACCATTTTTGTGGCCCTCCTCTGGTCCCACTCCAGCAGGTCCACATCCCTCTTGTTTTGGGATCCCCAGAGCTGAATGCAGTACTGCAGGTAGGGTCTCATGAGAGGAGAGCAGAGGGACAGAATCACCTTCCTCCACCTGGTCATGCTCCTTTGGGTGCAGCCCAGGATATGGGTGGTTTTCTGGGCTGTGAGCGCACACTGCCAGCCCATATCCAAGTTTTCATCCCTTTTTTTTTTTTCAATTTAGTTTTTTTAAATCTACTGACATGTGTCAGGGAGGAAACTGGTTCACGGGTCCTTGCAGACTTCCCTTATAGCTCGCTATTTCAGAGCATTCTCTGTACATCCAAAGGGAGCACCTGAAGCCCTCCTTCCACTGGAGGATGTGCATTATCCCCCTGTGTGATATCACTACCTAATCATGAAAAAGATCTGGTGCCTTTGCTATTGCCCAATATGCAGTTTGAATATGTGTGGGCCTATAAAAAGAAATTAAAGCACGAGAAACCAGAGTTTAATGGTCTTCCAAACTGCCAGAAATTTCACTCAGATACTCCTTTTGTGCTAGAGACATAGGTTCTTTGGAGGGTCCGAGCCAATATGCCTATTTTCAGTGCTAGAACATAATTTCACTTTAAATTGTTTGGGTACAGGGAAAAAGAAGAAAATTCAGTCCCAGTTGTTGCTCAGTTCCACATCCACTGAGGACCAGTACATGCAGCAAAAAGCTGGTTATAGCCACAAATATCAACAGTGCCTTTTCTGGTTTTGTTTGAGTCTTCAACTCGAGCAGAGTGAGAGAACGCCCAAAGGGAATTGGCAGTCAGTATGCAGTTTTAGTCAGAAAAGGGTTGAGACGTGTGGCTGCACAGCCACCATTAGTTATGTCAGCTGGTCTGTACATCAGAACTGTGTTACGCATGAAAAGAGAACCCATTCTGAAAGGTTACAATTTCAGAAATTCCTTTTACTTCTAGGAATAACAAATAAATAAATAAATAAAGTGTGGACCCTATCCTGCTGGGTAAGAGGAGATCTTACAATTGCCTAGTTCTCTGGGTATGGAAAATGCACACAACGTTGTCACTGAAATGCATTTCTGTGTATGTGGAAGTGCAGAATTTAGACAAAGCCTTCCTGTAACTGCTGTGGGGGAAGGAAGAGGGAATTCCCTGTTGCAGCTCTTTTAAAAACTCACTTTAAAAGTGAAATTTCACTTAGCATTGGAGAGCCAGTGTGGAGCATAAACTCCTTTAAAAAGCAGTGAAAAAATAAATCCCAAGCCTGCTGACTCCCCATGGGGGAGGTGGGGGTTGTAACATGCGTCTTGTTTAGCTTTTTTAAGGTGGGTTAAGCTGTGAATAAAAGTGCGTCAGGCTAATATTGGCAGAAAAGTATCTTTCCATCTAATCTGCTACAGTCTCAAAGAGGAAATTTAAAGAGCACATTTAGAATCACTGGGGGTGTTGAACTGAATGAGCTGTGGGTTCATGGTAACCTATTAAAGTAAGCAAGTATGTTCATTTCCAGAGTAAATCTCTAGCTGCCCTCAGAAAACCAGTTGTGATAACACCTCATGGGGTCACTGATACCTTGATCAAAACAGTTTTTGCGTGTCAGAAGGAGGACGTGAATAGAAATCTCTAGAAACACTCTTGATTGTCTTGCTGAAAGGACCTCTGTGACTTAGCTGCTCTCGGTGTTTCCTCCCACTGCTGCTTTCCCAAGCCTTTAATTGCATTGTGAACAGCATGGGTTGGGAAGGTATTCAAAAGGAAAAACATCCATTCTTAAGGAACCCTGGCTTGTGGTAGGCAAGATAATTTGAAATGGTAATTGTGTCTTGTCCTTCATTCTGCTCCTTAGGCTGCAGAGGATGCTACCAGCAGGTCGGTCTTTTATTGCCATGGATACCAAAGAGATCCCCCAGATTCTGCAGCAGATCTTCACATCTACCATATTGTCAAGTGCCTAAGCGTCACTGATGTCACGGTGCATGAGTTCAAAGAAGAAGCCTGCTCCTGCTGGAGATAGAAACTAACACTGAGGATAAACACAGTTATTAATAAGATACATGCTGTTCTTTAATCAGCAAAGCGACCCAAATCTGCACGACAGCCAAGCTGTAAGATTTCACCCCCAGTTTCTCAACCGACTTAGTGCGTTCAAAGAACTGCAGTGGGGCGGAGGCAAATCGCAGGATGGCAGCAGAGTGAATGTTTTTCCGCAGGGATAAATAAATAAAGGACAGTTTGTGAGCATTCCTCTGCCAGCCATGTTGCCAGCACTATGGTATCATCTCACCCTGTTTTATTAAATACGGGTCGCTGGGATTTCATAATATTATGTAAGGCAGAGCCAGGCAATCTGCTTCAGTGTTTTGCGTGCATCTGTTTGAATGGGTAGTTAACTCCATCTTTGTTTCAAACAGAACTGCTTTTGTCAGGCAGGAAACCTTTCCTTCCTCTGCTGTGGCTTTCTTGTCCTGACTGGGATTGGGGCTTCACCACTGGTTGCTGGGAACAATGGAGCAGTTTGGAAACACTGACTGTCGCGTGTAAACATTCATTATCTGATCAGGCACAGTGCTCAGATGTAGAGAAAGTGGATGTTAAGAAGGAAAACAAAACAAAAATAGATTCATTCAGTTCTGCCTGTGAAAAATAAGGGGAAAGGGTCAAAATGGTCTTGGAACCCAACTGCCAGTGTTTCCAAAGAGGGAACTACTGCCATGTCTCCTTTGCATGACCAGTGATGCTGTCCCACTGCACTCTTGCCCAGGATACCTGGGATAGCCTCAGTATGTGGAGATGCCTTTTCAGTCGGGAGACAAAAAAGTTTCTAAAGCTTTGCTAGAGCTCCTTCATGATCTATTTCGCTTGGGTCTTTTGAAGGTGAAACTGGAGGTGAGATCTAGACATGAGAGAATACATTCTTTTTTATAAAGGAGGAGGGAAAAAAATCTATTTTAGCAAGACGTCTGTTTTGGGGTATATTTAATATCCAGGATAGATATAGAGACTTATTTTATGATTCAATTGGTTAGTGTTTGACTTGTTCCATAAGGCAATAATTCCTCTTTATCCACTAAAGAAGAGATACCTTGTGGGGCATCTTATGGGAACATTGGAATACTTGGTGAATTGAATGTATGATTTATTCAAGCTTGGGCCAGGGGGTATGTATCATCACTTAATCTCTGCTGATACTAATTTGAGGGTAACTGAATAGAAAAAAGCCAAGGCAGAGTACTTACTTACTTACTTATAAAAATCTGAGGAGGAATTACAGTACTTCACTTCTAATATTTCTCTTAATCCTGCACTATGAGCAGTGTATTTGGAGGGGAGGACGCAGATTTATTTGATCTTGTTAAATACAACCATCATTGTTTTAAAGAGTCAGGTTTCAAGTGGTCATTCTCTACTCCATGAGTCCTGCAGCAAAAATCTTTACCAGAGCATCAGAAATATCCCATATTTAGGGTGTGTTTCGAAGCCTGGCCAGCTTTGAAACTTTACGGCAAGAGAGGACGGAAGACGTTTTTCAAAGGCTTGTTGGTATTGTTATGATAACTGTATATGTGAATACAAAGAGGTTGAAGATGCAATTCCTGTTTAGAGAGAAGGGAATTGGGAGGAGAAGGTTAAGAAGGTTATCCCTGGCTGGGACAAATGCATGTACATGCACATACACACAGACACAGCTAAAAAGGGGAAGTGCACTTCAAATATCTTGGTCCTGTAAACATAGGATGAGATACAAAATGCAATAAAGAATTGGCATATTAATAAGTCTCTTTGTTAGTAAATGTGGTTTTACATTGAAATTCCTCTACTTCTATTGCCAGCAGTTCTTCAAAAAAGAAGCATTTTATTACAGCTAATTAGCAAATGTGCTGTACACTTTCTAGATTACTCAAGTGGATAAACTGTCATCTTAGATTTACATGCAGTATAATACTGTTAGCATAAAAAGTAGTGTTATTTATGCTCTATTCACTCTAAGGTAAATCGGATTTTAAGCCTTTTGTTTAATTATCCCAGTAGACTGTATATCATGTCATTCTAGTTAAAGTTACCTTTCTGTAGTGTTTGGGTTTTTCTCTTTGTTTCAGAAGATGTCTGTTGTGTTTCAGTTCATATTTCATGGGCCCACAGGATGCAGCCATGTCCTGGACCAGGCCCAGCCAGGAGGGCAGCTGAGAGATGGTAGAAGCAATTCCTGGTGGATTTTGAGAGAAGGAGAGAAGAAATTAATTAAACTTGTCCAGAGCAGCTGTGGCTGCCCCATCCCTGGCAGTGTTCAAGGCCAGGTTGGACAGGGCTTGGAGCAACCTGCTCTAGTGGAAGGTGTCTCTGCCCGTGGCAGGGGGTTGGAACCGGATGATCTTTAAGGTCCTTTCCAACCCAAACCATTCTAAGATTATTATTATATATTAATTTT